TGATCACGAATGGATACCATGCGCGAGCTCCACGACTAGGAATGGACTGGAAAAGAAGGAACTTGGTACCATCCCATTTATAAACAAACGAGTCAGTGTTGTAGGAACTTCCAGAGTAGTGGCAGGCAAAAGCTAAGAATGTATGACCATTGATGCTCACAGACTTTACGTCATATGCACCATAAGTTTGAAGAGACTGTAGTTTGACAAAGTGTCCTCCTGACCACTTAAAGACAGTGGACTGAACAGAAAACTTCTGTTGATAGTTGTGATAGTTAGCGAAAGCGAGGTAAGTGACATTGTTTATTTCGAATGTCGTACATCCCTTAGCACCTTCAGTTGCTATCTCCTGGAACTTGTTGAACTTGACGCCATTCCATTTGTAGATGACTGATTTTGTTGAGTAGGTACTTCCATCATAGTAGTTTGCCAGTGTGAGATAATTCTCTCCATTTAATGTGAAGAACTTGAAGTGTCCAGCTCCTTTTGTTGGTAATATCTGAAGCACCACAAACCGCTGTCCGTTCCACTGGAAGATTACAGAGTCAAGTTGGTACGTACCATCCCAATGATTAGCCACAGCAAGGAAATGTTTGCCGGCGATAGAAAAGTACTCTACACCATATGCGCTTCTAGTTTGCAGGGTCTGGTAGAAAGTGAATTTTTCAGTCGATTCATCCATCTTGTAAACCACGGAGCTTGTCTTGTGTTTCTGGATATCTCCTCGATTGTTCCCAAAGGTGAGGAACAGACTTCCATTAATGGTAAAGTGCTGAACAGCTGTAGCTCCTCTGGTTTGCAAGTCTTGAACTTTCTCGAAGAAGTGGAAACCGGTGGAACATTCTTTTATAAAAAACACAACAGCTGGTTAACGGAGTTTACCTGTCATACGTTATTTCTTGTTATTTGCCTTTTTAAGGTGGCTCAAAAGAGTTATTTTTCATCACCATATTTTAACGTACCGAAGCTTTAACAGTTTCCTCTTTTAGAAATTTCCACACGACATGCGAAACTGTTATACAACAATTCTTTCTATAAAAACTAATGTTACCAAAACAACACTCCATCCTCCAAGACACTTAGTTCTCTACATGATCACTGTATTGCAATCAGTATATTAAAATACATATTTTTTGCAAAGTTATATAGAGAATATAACGACTTGACCCAGCCGGTTTTTTTTTGCTTCATTTAGGGGGGTTTAAATCGCATTTAAAGATTTTTTAATAGCAGAAAGATTAATATTGATGTGCTGTACCGATTGCATTTTAATGATAAAATATGAGGGTTGCTGAACCCGTCTTTTAACTGCACGCACATTAAGCTCAAATTAAGGGTGTTTCTAAAAGTCCGTATTCTTGTTAGTTAATGTGAAAAAATGAAATATATGATTATTAAAATATCAATAAGTAATTAATCATTCTTTGACGCCATTTTCAAGAGATCTCATGACTGTGGTAGAATAAATCTATCAAAGAAAAAGCGTTGAGCCTCTTTAAATTGGCTAAAACTGTCTCAAAAGGTCGAACTCGTTGCATTTTACACGCTGTTATTTCCCAGGTTTGTTCAAGCTGATGTTGGCTTCAGAAAAATCCTTATATCGGACTTATTTTACCTCTTCCTCCTTCCCCTTCGTCGCCCGATTATATGCACAGAATTGTTGTTTGCTTCGAGAAATGTTGGGGGGCTGAGCATCTCGGATTAGTGCAAAATCTATTTAAAAAGTTCATTTCTGCGAATAAAGGGAATGGCTGATCTTAACATAAGTGACACACAACAGGCGCTCTGATTGGTCAAAAATCTATCGTCTATTGTGCCGTTTAACTATATAAAACTGTAGCATCAAACAGGATTTGCACTCAAAAGTTTGTTGAAAATCGTATTTACATACGAACGAAAACCATTGACAAAGTATATGTCTATTCGAGACTTCTGGCAATTCTGTTTCCTGTCCGCGATTTCAGGTTTCATTTGATTGTTTTTACGTTTTGGAAGGCGTTTTTAGTAGTTGTTGTAAATTATAAAGAGAATTCCCTGAAAGCTTAAATTCAAGCAGAGGCAATACAAAAAAAATTGATTAAACAAAAATAGTATACCACTAATAAAAAAATAGCTAGTGTCTGATGTATGCAGCTCGATGTTGCGGTCTTTGCTTTTGCTGCTATCATCGTAGTGCGATTTTATAAAAGAAATTAAAACTAGGTCCTCTAAATGGTAATAAGATTCTTCAGCATAATTTCCTCAACTGACCTTTATTTCGCTGAAAAAGCTCTTAAAATATGAAAACTGTTTCCTAGGCTTGCAACCATCAGAAACTTTTCGAACAGACGCTATCACATCACTATCGCAGCGGTAGACAAATTTGGCGTTTTTATCCATCCACGTTGAAGTATTCTTCCATAAAACGTAGTTTGTGCATTCATCTTTCATTAAACTTAGACTTAAAAGGGGTATTCCACTGTGCACTTGAAAAACATTTATCATTAAAACAAAATGAATAAAAACTTATTCCAACCAACTATGCCTTCAGCTTGCATCAAAATTAAAAGGGGAGTTTTCTGCGCATTTAAAGAGGAATCCTTAAAGAAATGAGTGGTTTAAGACTGTACGTGGCTACGTGGTATATCAACATTTTTATAGCATTGAATAAAAGTGGAGATTGTAAAATGATGTCGCAAGGTAGTGTTGTTAAAGATTGGTCTCACTTAGAAAGCAGGAAACCTGCCACATCTCACATTTATGAATATCCTGTTACACAAGAGAAAGATAATTCAAGAATATAGTGACTAATAATCATATCAAAAATTATAACATCAATAATAATAATAATAATAATAATAATAATAATAACAATAACAATATTAAAAGTAATGATAATTTATGGGGGCTTGCTAAAGATCCTCACCGTTCCTCTATCGGTCTATCCTATAGGACCAATAATGATTAAACTATGCTTCCTTTAATTGTGCTTGTAAATTATAAATTTTCTTCTTTTTTCATTAGAATTCCATTTTTGTGAGACTTTCGTTTCATACAACAAGGCATTCTGCGTTGTGGGATATTCCGCCATTTTGCCATTCCTCCAATTCGCCATTTCATCGTTCTATCATTTCTTTGAATAGGGTCACCCTGTTAAACTCAAGGTATTGCATTTCGGACCTTGCTTGTTTCGCAAATTTAGCGGCTCATTGACGCATAAGTCGCTGATTGAAATGGTAAAATGCTCTCTCTTTGAATGAATTTTTTCCTCGAAAGTTTCCACGATGTGCAGATAAAAGGAAAAGCTTTGTTTTTAATAACATGCCGGTTAGGCCATTGAAAAATTATTTTGAGATGTTTATCATGGTTTGTGGTATCACGGCCAGAACTGAGAAAAAGTATCTTCGTATATACCGGATATAATTCGCTTAATCAAACTGTAAAATACTCCATTTCAAAGAAAAAAGTTATTCTCTAAGTTTTCATGATGCGCCGATGACACCTTATCAGATATTTCTGTAGAGAAAAGCTTTGTTTTTTCATGAGCCATCCTGAAATTATTGTGAGATGTTTATCGTGTTCTACATTGCGCCGGAACAAAGAATAAGTAGCACAGAGGACGTCGAGTAAAAATTAGAATAAGATCAGAATTCTATTGTTACCATCACTCACTCACTCACTCACTCACTCACTCGCTCATTTTGATGACATATGTAGCCTCGCCTCCCATAGGAGACAGTAGCCACAAAAACAAGAGAAAAATTATTCCTACCAACTTTACAACACTCTCTTTCCCCCGAAGATGACGAGGAGCTCTGCAAAGAATCATTATAAACCATGTTATCGTTCATTATCGTTTCATGCTTGTGTATGTCAAAGAATATCATACAAAAACTGCAAAAAAAAAAGTAAGAAGAACATTAAAAGAAAAAGCAGCAAATTACTTATATATGAAATCATTTTCATATGTTTACAACCATCATTCACTACTTCGAAGGTTTGTTTGGATCCAACATAATGACCAGCTCCTAGTTGACTTGTTGGTAGAGCGCTGCGCCGGTATCACAGAGGTTATGAATATTTTTCAGGCCTTATTCCAACCACTAGTTCAGTAGTGTTCATAACTGCGAGGACCGCTTCTATATTCGTTTCTTCAACCGCAGTTATAATATATATATATTATAACTGTTAATATGTCATTACTTTAGAAGTACATAAGGAATGTTACACTTTTAAGTGATGATTTCTATCCATCATCTCTTTCCATACCAGGTCGTCACATGTTCCCGGCATTCCTTTCAGTCCTTTTAGTCTTTGTGATCCTTTCTGTCCAACAGATCCTTTCTCGCCCTCGATGAAAAAGTAAGCTTATAAAAAAAGGTTGTATGGGATGGACTTGAAATGGAGAACATGTTTTGCTATTTGCTATTAAACAACTTTGAGAAGTTAGCGTCTTTCAAGTTCATTTTTTAAACTGTGTCGGACGAAAGAATTTTCTGTGTACACCTCATGAAAAGAAGCCGTCCTCCCCCCCCCCTGCCAAATAATGACCAATCCTTACCAGGTCCTACCAGGGGTTCCTGGTCCTACTATTATCGCAGTTTTTTCGCAGGTCCTAGTTTAACTGAATGATTCAGAGAACTAACTCTGGAACTAGAGCCACCATTCTTTCTCTTTTGTCCTTCTTCACCCCTCTCCCCCCAAAGAAATACTTCATTGTATTCATTGACAGTGTCAAAGTCAGATAAATCTCCAATACGGTACAAGAGAAGCAAGAGAACTCTTGCAGTTCAAATTGATGAGATGTTCCCCTTTGCCAAAATCTAATTCTATAACTGAATCCTCTTGGGTGGGATATATACAGCAATCAAGATTTAAATATTCCAACCAAATAGTTGGTAACAGTTGAAGTGTCAATCAGATCAAAGTCAAAGAAAATTAACAAGAAAATCGCTTAATTTTTTGCATTTGACAAGATAAGGATTATCACATCTTTGAATTAAATATTCTGAATATAAATATTACCAACCTTGGTGCCAGTATTTTCATTCACACTATGCATGCCTGGTTCACCTTTCTCTCCCTGGGTAATTTAAAATGAATCGAAATAATGTCCCGGTAACCATGACAACAATTTGATTGATATACCATGAGTAACGACTAACAAAAAGAAGTACGTCATATACAGTTGAACACGTTTGTATACTCAAGTCAGTTTCAATGTCATTTTATTTCTAACAATGGTTACATTATTGTTTTAAAAGTATCTAACCTTTGCTCCAACTGTCCCATCACGTCCATCTCGTCCTATGTTGGAAATATTGGCGATAAGTACAAATTGTGAAAACACCGATAAACGAAAACAGATAATTCACTTTGAATAAATAACTACATCACCGTTTATTCCATCGCGTCCATCTTTTCCTGCATAAAAAGCAAATCCATTTTCTTATGTTAGGTTGGTAGATAAACAGTTTATTTTTTATCGTGAAAAGTCATTTGTTTTTAAGTCAACAACTTGATAAATGAACCAAAAAGTAACTTCTGCACACTCACCGTTTTGTCCATCTTTTCCGTCTTTTCCTGTCCAGAAATTAACAGAAACAAAAACATCAGTAAAGAAACTCGAATTTCTTTCTTTCTCGCCCATATGAGCAGATGCAAATAAATATATGTGCGTTACGAGTACTGAAGTATTTTTATTATTATTCTTAGGTAATTATAAATGAACTGAAAAAGGTGGGATTCTTGTTCGAAGTTTTACTCACCATCTTTACAGTAACCAGCTTGTGAAGCACAGCAGTTTGATTTTGTCGTTGTTCTATGACTCTGTTGAAAAATGAACAGTGTGCCCATGAGTTATGAAATGAAGGAGTTGTTGGGAAGTTACACGCTCGAGCAAAACACAAAAATTCTCACTTTCACTCGAATTCCGATTTGACGACAATTTAAGCCTTTAAGCCTAGCTATCAATCTGGTTACCTGATTAGCAGATTTCTTTTGTGAACTCGCGAAGGAACTCAACAAAAAGGCTAGAGCCAACACAAAGAGTAAGCGAAACATTTTCACTTTCAGAGCCCTCCGATGTGAAATGGCAGACGAATCAGTCAGCATACGGGGAACAACTTTCCAAATCTGTTTATTTTGCCCCACAACAGGAAAATTCAGGATGTCCTAGGGCTTGTGTTATGAAAGGTGGTTACAATGCACAATGAGAATTTGTAGTTTATGGATTATGATATGCTAACTGACCGACTACGATGAACTTCCTATGTCTCCTTAAAACATCGTTATCTTGTACAGTTATCTGGTATGGAGAATTTAGAACCTTATCATTGAAGACGATTTGCTTGATCTTTAAGTAAATTCTCACTAATAACTGTAGTTTACAAAAGTGTTTTGATCTGTGGAAGGAAAGGTGTCCATAGCAAGAATTCAGCTCGCTCTAGAAAATAAGTGTGCACCTTTTTGTTAAAACCATTCTCGTGTAGCTTAATGTCTTTGTAACGTCGCCATTTGTTGCAAGCAAGTTTGAAAGGAAAAAAAAGCGGTTGACTGCAACCGTAGATGAGAACACCGTACCGCAATTATTGAAAAGCGACTGACGAGAATTAGTTTACCTAATTATCATTTTAACTAGCAAAATATTATCAGTCGTATAATTCCAAAGTTTCCTTTAAATAAAATCATTTTCCCAATGGCGCATCACTTGAATCTTTTGGTTCTAGAATCAAGCAGTATTTATCATACAAACCTTCCCTTAAAAGGTTTCTCTTTATCTCTTGCCTCCTTAGCCTGGTTTATTAAAAAGATGACGTGTAACTCAATATGAAGTAACCTTGTTGATATTGAATGCTATATGCGTATTATCCTGTGTGTATCCCGTGTAGCGCTATGGCTGACGTGTCCACATGATCAGAAATAGAAATTGCTTATTGTTTGTCAACTGTCCGTTCACTCGGTTTACTAAAACCGTCCAAACTGAATTGTCAGATAATAGGCTCATGAATTTTAGAGCTGGGATTATGATTTATAGTATCAAAATATAATTGATTAACAAGGTAACCAAAGGCAGAAGAGAATGATCAAAGTCGTTTGTTTACCCTAGCTATCCACTGTCACAGAAAAAAAAAAAATTGGGAATGATTAAATCCACTGATATCTGAAAAGGATATGTTCGTTTTAGGTCTAAGTATCGAAATGACATAAGTTTGAGTCCTCAGGCCCATAATTAAAGAAAGTGCTATTTTCATTCCGCTCTGGTGAACTTAAAGGGCTCCTCGCCACACTTCACAGAATTTACATACAACATAAAGTTTGTTTACCGACGGGATTACTCGACAGGATTGTATTCAGACTCCAAAGAAAGAAGAACGTAAAAAGCACTTGTAACATAACAGCCTTTGCTTCACCTCGAGAACCATGCTTTACATTAGACATGTAATGAAAATGCTGAATAAATTTAGCCGTCTCGTCAGGATTAATGAATAAAGAAAACAACCGCGTTCTTTCGTAAATACAATGTAGTTCCATGATATACTTGAGTTAAATAGAAAACGATATTGAGGTAAACTTTACTTCCATGATAGTCTCTCTATTTTTTTCACTCTGAGTCTCGATGAAACTATAACTTCACTTTTTAATGTTTAGGAGTTCTCAGCCCAGCACTCGGCATTTCATGGTATCGCTTCAGTTTCACACTCTATGCCGGAAGGATATGTTGAGGAAGGACCTCAAAACTCGATGTCAATTTGTTTAGGTTTTTGAGAGTTCGATGAAAATTCTAAGAATTTGGTTACGCGATAGGCGTCCTGAAACACCTTGTTCCGCGCTATGCTGACGTGTCCATGTGATCATCAATAAAACTTGCTCATTGTGTACCAACTGTCCGTTGACTGGGTTTACTTAAACCGTTCAAACTGAATTGTCAGACAATAGGCTCAGAAAATTGATGCTGGAATAGTTAATTACTGCCATCATCAATAGAAAAACTGACGAAGGGAATAAGGTCCAGAAGATTCTTTTGTAACAGAACAAAAGTGACCGGGAATGAATAACAAGTAGTGATATTTGGAGAGGAAGATTTTGGCATTGAATCAAAATGTAAACATTTCACAGATTTGGTTCTTCAGGACCATAATAGAATCGTGATTTTCGCTAGGTTTTAGCGAAAGTGAGGACATAGTGTAAGATTTTCAAATAATTGTTCAATTTGCGCGAATAACCGTTCCCTCAGTGTTAACTGCCCGATATTTTTTTATCCATTAACCGCTTCAATACAGTAGCTATTTTCAAATAGGCAACAATCTACAGTTAAGAAGCCCACTTTGTTATCATTTTAAGAGATGCACTTCCCTGATCCTAAGTGTGGTAGTATATTTTGAGAGGAAACTAGTCTTTGATCAGGCTTATGCATTGTGATCAAACACAATTGTGAACACGAGATCAACATGCAAAATTTGTTTTTTGTAGAGAAATGCTTTTTCATTATTAGTTCTTTTATAATTTCGTCACATAAAAGATATCCAAGCTGATTTCACTCTATCCTAGAGTGCAGGAGAAGAAAGAAGAAGAAAGAGCTTTCGCTTCACAAAAACTATTTCATAACAGACCTACCTAGCCAAACTGTGATTGAATATTGTCGAAGTGACCACCAATGGAGATTACTTATCAGTCTGTGTGGTTTACTAGAGAAAGGATGTCGTGAATCATGCAAAATCATATCGTCTTTGCCCCCTATTTTTATTTGATAATTATACTTTTAACTGCACACTAATTCTAAAACTCTCTTGAATAAATTTACGGAGTAGCTTCTCTTGGTAAATCATGGATCCTTCCGCTCAGCTTTTTCCTCTGTTTACTTGAACTGTATACAGAAAATTATCGAATGAATGTTTTGAATAGCTCAACTCTGAATATCTCAATATATCGACATTTGCAGTTTCTCAGTGAATAAAAGGAGAAAGAAAAAGTTAGCGTTTCAAGGAATGCCATAATGCGCTGCAACTCATGCTTAACTGATATGGCAATGTTACAAATGTGGCGGCGAAACAACGACGAAATAAGTCATTCCGAAATAATACGAAAAATATGGGTTTCGTCGTCATGGGTCTCGTTAAGTACCCTGTCCTGTCCTGGATATCCTGTGTGAAAAGCGAAAGTGACAAGTTAGATTCGGAGGCGAGGCGTGGTTACAACTTAAGCCTTTCTTCTTTTTTCCTCTCTTTGTTTGTCTATCACAAGTGCGAAGTCGGCTTAGTCGACAGAAGGACATAAAAGGTTAGATCGCAAAATAGATCTGAAACGTCTTCTCTGTTTTCGCTGAAAGAGCAAAAGGGAGGAATGAGGGAAATGAGAAAGCGGGTGTAACGAATACCATAATGTGCCCAAATCTAGGCTTGGTACTAAAACAAGGTGAGCCACGCTTATTGTGGTTACGCCGTCTTAGCGTTTATTTGTGAAGAGAGAATCCTTGAAATTCAGAGGAGAGTTTAAAATAAGCACTCAATTCGACTTCCTTTAAGAGAGTCCAACTCTGTTTATTTCGATTTTTTCATCGCCATGAAATATCTGGAAGGTGCATCCAGAGGTAGATCCTATGTTTGCACCTGCAAAAAGCAGTGGACGGCGTAAGACAGTGGGGGGTTGTAAAAATGGTTAATCAAAGAATCTTCTGCGTACTGGTGGCGATTTCTGCAGCCGAGCAAGTGGCGACTTGACATTCATTATTTCATACCGGTTTCAAAACGAGCAACTCGACTGAGGGTCATGGACATCCTCTTTTGGTGTTCCGAACTCGCTGACTATCCGTGCTTTTGTCTCCACTCAGTTGGGCTAAAAAGGTCTCCGTAATATCCGCAGCGTGAAGCTTAAAAATACAGGTTTCCACGACAGAATAATTGGTTACTCGTTCCCCTTCAAGCTGGAGGTCAACATCCTTTGCAGCTGTGGATAGAGAGTTGTAGATAATCGGTGTGGATAATAGATTAAACTATTTTAAATAGTTCAAGTTATCATTTGCGCAACAAAGACTCGATTTTCCAAACACTTTAACTTACGGCAAAAATACGTTACTTCAGACCTGCGCTGTGGAACAGACTACACAACCAGACAAATAATTATTTAACCTTCAGTCCTCTAAAAACACCATAAGAAAATTCGATATCATTGGTATTTTAGATCGTAACAGTAGGTGTTGCTACTTCTATGAATAATGATTTTAGATTTTGGATCCAGATTATAGATTGAAGATTTTAGATTGTAAATGTGAGATTAGAATAACTATTGTGCAGTTGATATAAGGCTCTTAATCAATTTTTTCAATGTTCAATTGTCGGCTAAATTCTATAGTGTCCCTAAATAGCTCGTACATAAATACATTTGACACTGAAATACATGTTTGTTAACATTTAAAAACTTCTGTCTAAATTTGTATTTGTTGAGAAAAAGGACGGAAGCAGATACATTGAGCACCATAAAGTGACTCGTGCTCAGGATGCAAACAAGGCTGAGTGAAAAACAAGGTAAGCCATGCTTGTTGTGGTCGCACGGTCTTGGCGCATGTTTATAATTAGTGGTAACTTTTAAATACAGCTAGGAGAGCGTTGAACACGCACTCAAATCGACTCTCTTTCTAAAAGTTCATTCATTTTGCAATGAAAAAATCAAGGAGGTGGTTAGAGAATATTTGATGGCAGAGAGTAAAGATAAACGGAAAGCCCGTCAAGCGAGAGAGACATTAACAAGGGAACAATGCAAATGATAACTGCAGATTGTGTTGCTGTGATTTTTCCATAAGATAAAACGGAGTCTCCCGATGGGTTTAGAAACCACTTTGATTGGTTCGTCGCGCTTCGCTGATTCAAAATATTTCAAGCTTTTAGTGGCTTTTGCCATCTTCTGTTTCTTCGCTAGTATGTAGTCCCCAACCTAAGACGGCAGGAACCGCGTGAGGGAGAAATCGATGGCCAAGAAATCTCTCAGTTTCCGGAAAGCGCTTCCTTATTCCTCGAGGGACAATGACGCCAGTTTTTCGGTGTCAATCAATGACTTTGAGAGTGTCCCTTCTTGCCGCAGGTGACACTACCCTGTCATTCGATTACTTATTAACCGGGAGGTGATCAGAAACCTTCCTTGATTTCACTTCCTTCCTCGCTAGAACTAAGATGATAAAAACAGTAATACTATTGCCGAAGCCCTTGGAAAGAATGGCTCAAACATTTTTTCCCTTTACCGCAATGCTTGATTAAACAAATGCTTCATGACCTGCTCTACATCTTTCTTTGACAAACTCTTAAACCCCTCTCGACACATATTCGGTGACGAAAAAGCTTTTTGTGTCGTTTCTTTTTTCCACCGCCCACATTTCCATCTCGTTACAGCCGTAGTCAACATACACTAATTTCAAGGAAAGCATTCTCAGGGGAAAACACTTTAATGGGGATTTTTCATCATGTGAACAGACAACCAGCCACCGTCTCAAGCCTCGTCGCTTTAGCAAAAAAGAAAAGCCACCAGCTACGCGAGATGGCCTGCTTCTGTTGTTTCATTAGATGTGGAGTATTTATGCTCCCCGTTGCCCATGCATAGTAAATAGGTTGTATCGCCTGCACAATATGCATCACATCTCTTACATTTAAATTCGTTTCAAAGGTTGTTGGTTCACCATAGAGGGCTTTGTTTTCGTAATTTGCTTATGACGACTGGTTCCTATAGTCGGGTTAAGCTTTCCAGCTGAGAGTACTAGGCTCCTTTAGTAAGAAGTTGGCAATTTTCCGATCCGTGGGTTTGTCTATGTGCACTGGTGTCTCCTTAAAAGAGATTGGTCAACTTGTTATCACAAATTTCTAGCCTTAA